ACAAGGAATATGCAAAATCAATTGTTTGCTCACCGACTTGTTATCTCAATGCTATTATGGGAATTTTCAAAATTTGTTTTGTATTAGTTGAAGATGAGCCAAATTATTTAACTTGGATATCAGTACGAACACCTTATTGACATATGCTCAATGGTTATCAGAATATTCCACATAACATTCAAGTGGTAAACGGCATCCTGGTGTCATTTCTTGCGTTTTAGAACGTTGATTTGATAGACCAAATATCGATCACGTATACAAATACAGAACTACAAACAGTTGAATCTAAACGGGTCCAGGTGGTATGACAGGATACCAAACATTTGAAGCAACCGAGTTACTGTATGTTTGACCTTATAGCTTAGATTAATAAACGATCAGAGGAAATCTAGTGGAGTATTCTGATGGTTGAAATGATAAATCAGTCATAGAAATCCACGAAGCAACAAAGAAAAAATATGGAGACATACTGTGTTTTGATACACAAGTCGAGAAAGATACTGCTTGTACCTGATAGTTGTTTGCATTGTGTTTTGTTTAGTCCTCAAAAGAGGCAGGTTGATCAGTCCTGCGATTTAAGCAGTATGAGCTAGATGGGCTAGATGTGTGTTTATCTACTGAGCTGCTTTTTTTGAGGCATCTCCGAAAGAACAGACTTAATTAAATTGCTGCGAAGAAGATTTATACAATTTTTCTGAGTTGTTGTTCGGGTTGTGTAGTAAATTGTCTTTAGAAATTCATTAAACCCAAACGTGTCTTCAGAGCTTTTAAGAAAGATGTAAATGCATGTAAATGCAGCACGTACTTCAGTCTTGAAAATGGTGAAATACCTTATGACGTGAACCATATTGTTAAGTAAAATGAGTTAATCTTTGTAAACTTATAGTAATCAGGTCATCTACTAAATGTTTGACAGTTAAATGCTTGATTGGCAAAATCAAATGATCATGGTTTTTATCCGTACTGGAAGAGGCCAATTTAGGCGTGAAGAAATTCTGAAATCCCATTTTTACTGTTGATAGACATTTGGAAAATGTGAGCTGCATTCCAGAAACCAAAAGGGGTGGATAAAAACCCCAGTCAAACCGAAAGAGGTCTTAAAAGCAGCAGTCGTTTGTGACATCTTCGCCGACTACCGAGATCTGGTGATCAGGTTATACCCCATCGATCTAAGAGTAAGGGATGTTGTAATGTCGTGTATGTAAAAGATCGGACAACTGTAGGAAATAATCACAGTATTAAGCAACTGATAACACATGATCATCAGTTATTGCTACCTATTCAAAGAGCTGTGTGTCGGGGAGAGACGCGTATAGTCTAACAGAAGTACATACGATACCTTTGAAATAGTGTATCAAACCATTCTTGGTTTATGCTTATTTCTCCGGTACCACTTGATTGGATTGTGTGGTGACATTTTATTAATTATAGACTATACGCTCCGCCAGTGAACTCATATCTTCCACGGATTTCATTTGGGAGAATTAAATGAACAATTTCGGAAATACACAGACATATCCGGCATAAAATACGTGGTTTGATGAACATCAATGCTTTCTTTGAGGTCAATGAATTTGATGTTCAACTTAGGGCTGATCAACTTCAGTCAGGGTGAACCAAGAAGTAATTCATAGTGGTGCATGAAATTTATATCCAGTGTTCCAGTGGAAACATTCGTAAGAATGATCAATCAAGGATACCGTGGTTGATTTTTGCAGTTGATGGTTAATTGCCTACAAAAGCATGTAGTGTGTGCTCGTTGCGGCGCAGGGCCGAAGCAATCCAAGCGGTTACACAGTTACAGGGGACTGGACAATTAGTGACAAATCAAGTGATAAAACGATTCTTAAAAGAATGCAGTTAAGATTGAGTGGTTTGTATACACACACTTTTAAGCTTCATCTGCTAATACGAAGCTGTTAAAAAGATGGTGTTTTTAAGTGAATCAAAATTATTAAAAATGACTATTTGCCAGGTCGATTTAATTGGTTAAAATTCTCCCTCTAAAAGTGAAGTTTTTATGAAGACAAATATTAGGGAAGGATCTTGAAACAATAACTACAATATCAGGTGGATGATAGGCTGCATTGTTGCAATGAACACAGAAAACTTGCTGTAGGCTTACTATCGGAGTCAAGTTCATTTAACTAAATTGAAACGTTTTGATACGTGCGGTTATTAAAGAGGTACACTGCTGAAATGTATTTATATCGGGTAAAATTCTGTGACCATACAATTTAGCAACCAAATCCAGGATGTAAATGGATGGACTGAGGTGAAACACACAAAACAATTTATTATCTCAGTTATCTACCATTTTTCACCTTCTTTTCACTTCGATCTGTATTCCAATCCACCTGTCCCCTGTTGTTGTAATTATTATTTTTGTTGTGGCGTTGGTACCATGCTTTTCTGCAAGCCGGTATGAAATATATATATATATATATATATAACGTTTTAGGTGTGATGGAGAAAAGCATTGTATAATGGGAATAAACAATCCGTAGTAAAAGCCTCATAATGTAATTAAAGTAAATTTAAAATATCTTTGACATCATAAAATGTTTTCAGTCAGTAATTGAAACGAGAGCGAATTATTCAATCTGAGCTTAAGCTACCGAGCGCTATTTGAAGTATCATGTGAACTGCCAAGAACTTGTTCCAGTTTTCAAATTGTGATGTTTTACATATTCACCTTGAATTTAGAAATCCGAAAAAAGTTAAGAACTTTGAGCGGAGATGTTACGGCAATTAAAATACTCAGAAAATATGGATTCACCCAAACGCGTGCACATCTCTTCAACTTGAAACTAAATGCGTGCTCTTTGAATTCGGTGGTCATGCGCAACAGCAAAACATCCGGATGCGTGTGGATAATTGGAGGAACAAATAACGTTTATTGGTGACGAATTTTTTAATATGATCGGTGAATAAAACACTAAGTCGATAACTATTTCTCTACCTCTTTTTTTGACTTCTTTTTGGATGGTTTACTTATTTGACCAGTGGTATGTAAATATACTGGGCATGATTATGAGCACCTGAAAAAAAGATATTGCGCCACTCATTATCCATGGCTGTTTTGGACCGATGAAGAATTCCAAACCATTGACCATTACAAGTAAAGCCAAATTATAGCACAGCTTTTGCCCACAAGTCTCTGGCTTCATAAAGTCCCAGTTCGCAAAAGAGGAATAATCCCCTTTGATGGTTTCATACTGTGCATCTTCTGACGTATTTATCGTCAAAGTCTCACACCTCATGTTGCTTTTAGGCAAAAATGTTTACACTTGAATAATAGATGTAGGATTTGACTGAGTGTTCAGCGACGCCTGATGATCCGCGGCTAACATGCAGTACACGGATCCCTTGTGAACCGAATATTGGCTCTCTTAATTATTCAATTATATTGATTTGGACAAATTCGGAATCAATTTTATGAGCCATTTTTTGAGCTTACAGCTCTTTAGCGGATAAAAAGACTGCGACCGCGAATAGTTTATTATCTGGAACTTCAGTACTCACCTAACCCCATCGTTATGTTTCAGAGCGAAAGGAATTCCGCCCGTTCGAGCAGCTACAACAACAAAAACAACAACCACGTTCAATTAGAATGAATTTTGATTCTATCGCTCAACACATTCTCCAACGCAGAAGATCCTCAAAGCCGCGGACATGGCAAAGAGTGGCTCAAAAAATGGTCCGAAGAAGCGAGCATCAGTTTACCGACACGTACAACTCGGTGATGTTGGGTAAACTGACCGATCTGCCCACGGCAAACAATCGCACAATTCGTGTGTTCATCAGTTCCACATTTTCCGGTAGAAATTTTACACACAAATCACTTAGCTTACAGATTTGGCAATCGAACGGAATATACTGATGAAACAGGCATACCCGAAATTGAAAGTGCATTGTAGGGAAAAGTACGGTTATGAATTCCAGGTAAGGTCTCGGATTCGTTTTGTTTCAGTGATTCGATTTTGGGTCAGTTATCGATCACAGTCGTGTTGCTGCGAAATTTTAAATGAATGAATAATTCTGGTAGATTCAAGCTTGCTTTCGGTACTTTATCTATTGGACAATTAAGATAAATTATATAACTCAGGGAGATAACAAGGAGAGACAGTAAAATCTGAATTTTAGTACGTGCAGAATGGGATTTGAGGGTTCGGGAGGGAGGTGTTCCAACATTGACCGCATAATTAGTGGTAATCCCTTGCGGAATGTGAATATTCGACTGAATTGTTAGGTGAAGACACTTCGGACGCATGACCATGGAAGTGGAATGGATGTAACAAAACGGTTTTTTGCACACAATCGGGGTTTATTTATTTCAATTGTTATCGCTTCTGTTGTTGATAACGATCGGGTTTTAAGATCCTTAGACCGAATCTAAGTCAGTGAATAGATTGAGCGGAATGATTTATGAACACCTACGGTGAGATTCTCTTAGGCAAGATATACGGGGACAGCACTCGCACCTGCCTTTATCGGTCCCCGAATGAGTCAGTCTGGGTGATGTTCTCTTATCCGACCGGCCAGGCGTCTGGTGGTGGACAGAAAAGGAGGTTATCCCCATCGGTAACCTGTCCTCCATCTGTAATAGGAGAACTAATTTGGAAGAGTAGAATATGCACAATTCCGTTGAGAAATAACTATTTCCTACTACATTCCTCAGTCGTTTGCTCATTGTCCTCGCAAAGATGGCACCTTTGTCCGGCAATAAAATTTGAACCTTCTTCTTCTCCAGTGTCGGGTCATTTGAATTTGAAATGTAGGCTCTCATAAGACGATCGATAAGTTCCTCTGAGTATCCACTTTGTGGGAATGCTGACTTGACTGCTACCAATTCATCATTCACTGTAGCAGTAGAACAAAGTCTTCTTACACAATTGGCTATGTACTGGAATAGGCTTCGTTTACGCTGTATCGGGGCAAAACTATGATATTTGATATATTACCCAAGTAGAAACGGAAAACAGGTTTAGCGATCAGCAATGGACACACTGACTGGAATAGTTGGGATTTCTGTAAGGATCGAATTGTGGAAGAAATGTAGTACTCAGCTCGTGTACATTCTGAGTGTAATCGGTGCAAAGCTTATCGCCACGGCCACAAAAATTACGGTACACAGACAATCTATTGACAGCCTTTATTGGAATAAAAGAGCATGGTAAAACACAGTGTCGATTCATAGTCCATCAGATAAAAAAGAGATCGCGGGAATGCATTGTTTTAATGGAGCACTCGTATTCACCGCAATTCTTGAAAAAAAATTAGGTGATAAATTGTGATTATGAATTATCAAATATTTTACAGTAACATTTCCTATCATATTTGAGAAACACATAAGCTATTTTCAAGCATGTGCCATCTGCGAAAAAGAGTTTCCACAAATCATATCGTGGTGAGGTTTCTTACAATACTTCTCATTGCTTGGGCGTGTCACTTTTTCCTTTTTGTGTAACTTGTTCTATAAAGTGAATTTCGTCGTGTGAAGAGCAAATGAAGGGCGAAAGTGGAAAACGCTAAGAAACACTAAACAGCTGTTTTGGCCCGGTTGGGTCTCATCACTGGTGCGAATCCATCGATCCAAATGGGGACCTCACAGGTAGAACATAAGCGTATGACGGATTTAACTACAACTGATCATACTGGGCGGTGGTGGTGTTCCCATTGGTAACGTCCCCGAATTATCACCCCGGAGGACATGTGTTCAAATCCCACCATCATCACCTAACTTTCCCCTTTGGTATGTTATGTGGCAGCCCCATTTGATTGACCACTTACCCCTTCCTAAAAATTGCATCATTATGTAATCAATAAAAGGAAGGAAAAATGAAAAAAAGAAGAGAACTTTTTCATTTTCCAGAAATAGCACATCATTACAAGCGAGAACTGCGGACTTAGCTCAGCTTTAGCTCCTCCAATGTTATCATTCGGTTGCAAACATTCCAAACCTGACTGTTTGTTATTTAATTCTATCGAATATGTAATGGCAGCTGGTTGAGGAAGGAGAAACGGACGATCAAAAGGCTGCGGCATAATCGGGACGGACAGTTCGGTGGTGTTGTTGGTGGGATTCGAACACAAGTTCTCTGGGACGATCATTTGGTGACTTTTACCGCCTAACCACCAGCGTCACTGCATGTGGATCAGACTAATCACGACATATGCAAAACATCTCTTTCCTGCCCAGTTATCCGGATTTTATTACTCCCCTTGAAGTCATAATTTGACCTTGAGAGCTAATCGGAAAAGCCCATCTTGCAATATGCTTGATAGACCTACCAGTTCGACCTACAGTGTGAAGAATTTGAATATTCTTTGTTGAACCGCGAAATGACATNTCCAAGGGGTTCCTAACATATTGCATAAACACAAGGGCTTGAAAACGGATGGTCTACGCATGATGGTCATGTCAGCAGATTGCCCACGGGCGCAATAAAGTATCATGTTGACACCTCGTGGGGTTTGAGTTGTCAAATGATACTGCAACCTGGCGAAACATTTAGGTATCCACTTATAGGTGAGTGTTAGCGAACATGTGTGTGAAATCATGGAAGATCATGCATGCATTATCTTCTTCTAGATCGTTCCGTGTAGTGCTGCTTCTATCGGATCAGGATAAATAGATACGGCAAAGGAAGGTTAAATGTGTGAAGTGGACACGATATTAAAGGTGCTAGTTAAGGAATCCGAGAAATATGCTGCAAAGTGGCATCCGCAGCGCCACTGAAATTTTTCTTTTATCCGACTTTCAGTGGCACCGCGGATGCCACCTTGTACCATATTTACCAGATTCCTCGTGAATTCGTCAGTGGACGCAACTGTTCCTCAGGCTGCAGATATCTGTAACTCATTCTTATCACCACCTGTCTCATTCACTAAACTATCGGGATCCAACAGATGTAATCAGGATGTGAAAAGATACAACGGGTTGACCAACGAATAGATCAGATCAGATTAGGTTGCGGCTTGAGCCAGCGAGAGTTCAGTTTCTTGTTCGAGTGGGCGTGAATGTCCCTCGTACTTCAACCGTCCAACAGACAACAGAATAAAAAAGACAAAGGAATGCAGAAGGATAAGGGTGAAGTTGTGTTACGATAATAAAGGAAAGTGACGAGGTCTCTAGGAAGAAGGGATGTGCGAAAGAGAACGTTGAAGCAAGAAGGTAAGGTCTCCTAAATCACAAAAGGTCGGGGAACAGGGTAGTCTAGCTCTTGTCCAGTCTGGGCTGAGAACAGCTTTACTGACAGTCTGTTCCATGCGTTCACCAAACTTTGGGAGAAGAAGTTCACCCTTATGCTCTTCAGAGGTCCAATCGATGACGTTTGACGGTCGAAACACCAATCATTTTGTGGGGTTCCTC